CAAAAAAGGATTGAACGTGTGAATAAAAGTAATGAAATCAAAATTGGCGGACAAACTAGTAGCTACACTTATAGCATTGATAAGAAGTTTACAGCAAATATTCATTCATTAGTTAGCTAGGCCGCGTATTCTATTTTACCCACCATCATGATCAAAGTTAAACAAAAAATGCGGCCTGGCTAACCAATGAATGAATATTTGCTGTAAACTTCTTATCAATGCTATAAGTGTAGCTACCAATTTGGCCGCCAATTTTAATTTCTTTTCTTTTCTTTAAGTCGCATGCACAATCCTATTTTGGCCACACCTTTTTTTCACACCTAAGTTTATTTTATGATATATGTATATTAACATTAGAAATGGAGTTTGTGTCTAATTTCAGTATATTACTTTGTTTTGATCAAAATGATATAATTTAAAATTAAAATTTAATTCTAGTAATTTTATTTAGTAGTTATCACATTTTTTGAAACATGGACCGCAATTAAATGTCCTCATCTTAGTATTTTGATCGAGATTTGGTCGTGTCCTTGTGCGCGACCTTGGAGGGTCAGGTTCTTTCAGACCTTTTCTTCCCTTCTTAACTGTTTTGATTTAAAACTGTCAGTTTCTATATTCAATATTTATGGAATTAGTGTATATAAAATGTACACTAATTGTACCTTCCCTCTTTTCAGGGCTATGTCCATGAACATTATGCTATGGCATTCAGTGCTAGTTTGTCATTTCTCTTCACCTGGTCGTTTTAAAAACTCGCAAACAGTACAAATAATCACTTTTTCACTCGATTACTTTATCAAAAGTGTATTTTTCATATAAGAATCATTTTAAATATATTTATGATAACTTAATTAAAGTGATAAAATACTGTCTAGTGTAAGTGGTATTTCTTATTATACATATTGAGTGGTGAGAGATAGTACTATCATCATCACGTATGACATAGCGATCTATAGAAGTTAATAAATCATTCTTATATAGATTTTTTATCAAAATACTTGAACGAGCAATCTAGGAGTCTGTCCTGGATTGGTTGTATATTTGCATACCTGTGCATGAAATGATAATTTGTTGATCTGGGAACTCTAAAAGCTTTAGTAATTGCTGAATTTTGTATTCTTTGTAATTTTATTAGATTTGCTGGGGCTATATTTGTCCAAGCTGGAATTGCACATTCTATACCCGGGCGTATATACTGTTTACAAATGGGTATTATATTTTTGGGTGATGTACCGTTATTTTTACACGATAGCCTCCTTACGTAGTTTGCTCGTTGCCATACTATAATTGTAATTTGGTTTATATGATTTTCCATATTAGTTTCGAATTATAAGTCAAACCAAGAAATTTAACTGATGTGGTGGTATTTAGAAAAGTTTCATTTGGGTATAAATCTGGTTTCTGTCTACATATTTTTCTCTCTCTTTTTTGTGCAGTTATTTTAATTCTGTTCTTTGGACAATATTCTACTATTTGATATAGAACCGACTGTAAATTGATGGCTGCTACCGAGGGAGTTGTGGGCTTTTCCAAATTGCCACATCATCGGCGAATTGAGATTTTAGGCAAAAATTTCATTCTATTAACGGCATATCACTTACATACATGACGAAAAGGATAGAGCTAACTACCATCCCTGGGGAACACCCGCCTCAGGAGTGAAATACTCTGAGTAGGTGCTCTCCACATTCACTGTACATTTTCTATTATCTAGAAAGTTGGACAACCAGCAAATAACACCTGTCGATAATTCCAATTATTTCATTCTGTACCAAAGTCCGTTATGCTATACAATGTCGAATGTTTTCTCTATATCAAGAAAACAGTGCATTTATCATGGTTAAAGCTATCTATTATGGTTTCAGTTAATCTAGCTAAATGATCTGTAGTTTGCCGAAATTTTCTGAAACCGTTTTGCACTTCAGGTTATTTTTGACGTTATCTCTAAAAATGTTGAAAGTCTGTTACTAATTATTCTTTCTAAACTTTTGCTTATACAACTTGTTAAACTGATTAGTTTGCCATTCTTCGGTTTATTCGCTGGTTTTCCATCCTTTAGAATCATAAGAACATTTGCTTGCTTCCAAAAGACTGGGATATAACCTGATAACCAAACAATTTCTGAGTGTCTCTTTTTTTAAGAGAATGGCTTGCATGTTATCTTCCCCTGGTGCTTTGTTTTTCCTAATTTTAGATGGAAATAAGTATACTTTTGATTTAGTGATTGTGTTTGTAATTCCATTTGCCAAAAGGTTATTATTTGTTTGTTGTTGATCTTGAAGGCTGATAATCTCAACCTGGAATGTTGGAGTATAAAAGTATTTGTTTTGCTCGATGTAGTGATTTACTGTAATGAAATGGTGGGTGTTTATATCTGGTTCATTATATGTTTTAAATGCTTTCTTTAGTTGTTTTTAGAAAGCTTCTGCTTTTTGTGAGTTGGTACATCCTAGTTTATTTTGATAGTTAAGTGTCAGATATGTTTTGAGCGTTACAATTATTTGCAAATATTTTTAGATGTGTCCAAAATGGTTTTGGGTCTTTATTCTCGTTTGAACGATCTCTTTGATTCGACAATAGGCCTTTCCCAATTTTGACATTCTGAGGGACCTTTTTAAATCCAGTATGATACATCCTGCTCATATAATCCCACAGACTAACATCATTGAACTTGACGCAATCAATTGCAGTTTTAGTAATATCCTCAGCTGCAGGCCTATAATCGGGTTCAACTGTAGTAGTCACATTCGCATCAGCTGATTTATTAATCTCACAGCAGCAAGTTTACAATGTATATGTATATGTAGGCCTTCAGTCTCCTTTCTTTACGCGAGATAATATTTTGTGTAGAAAAAATTATTTTTGGAGGCCCACTCCTTAGGGTGAGGCCTGAAGCTATAGTTTTTATAGCTTAAGGCAAATTCCACTACTGATATAAGGTATTGTTAGACATCTGCTCGTTTGTTAATTTCCGGTATAAATTATTTCCGAGGAACTTCAGCGATACAAGTCCTTTCTTAATTAAAACTAGTTTATTCTTTCTCGATATAACTTTTTGTAATACACAGAATTTCCACAGTCACTTTAAATTTAACAACCTTTATAACACCCGCTATAAATCACAGTGATTCACACACTTTACTTACGGTGCCTACTGTTTGCTTGACTCAATCATCTATCTCTTCAATCACACTGGTTTTTCTCGCCAGGCTTATATACTAAAAAGAGGGCGTCTCGATCAGACTAGAGTTATGGGGCAAATTCATGATTCTTCGAGAAACTCCAAAGTGTATGCTCCCAACGTCAAATGACTTCCGCTGTCGTAACAGTATATAAAAAAAGTTAGGTAGGCTCTAGTTGATTCTTGATTGATTTGTGAGACTAGTACAATATATAATTTATTATTGAGTTAGGTTACCTGTAATTCTGTTTGTCTACTACTTTTAGTCAGTTTGTCACTCAATTCAGTTTTATAAATATTGTGTTTTGACGAGAAGTACTGTAAGGTGTACCTAAGAGAAAATTAGCAAGTAAATGAATTATTGTGTTAGCGTCTACCGTGAACTTAGAACTTCTATGGAATATTATAATTTATTGATATAATTTTAAGTTAGAGAAATAAATTGCTTTTGTTATCATTAAATGTACCGGACTTTACATTATTCTTTTTACTGAATAATCCAAAAGAGCCCACCCAACAACAGAAAGGGTTACAACAATATTTTGTATTACATTATATAATAGTATTTTTTGTCAATTTTTTGGGTAAAGTAAACTCTAAACTGTATTGACTTATTTTAAACTGAACTGATTTAAGAGCCCATTTCTTGCTTTTTTAACCTATTGCAATTATTCGATGTGAAAGGGTTTTATCATAAGCGTTATATTATTTACACATTAAATTTTTAGGGTTTCATTGATATTTTTGTTTCATGGAATTCCTTTTGAATTAGTTCATTGAATCATTTTGTTTCAGGATTTTTTGTATTATCTATCAGTATTGTATTGTATTATTGCAATTTTGTTCCTTTATAAAAGGAAACTTTGAAAACCAATGCTCATTTCTATTTAGTTTCTTGGCAAAGTTACCATCATTGTCTTTGATAACAGCCTATTTCAATATCCATCTTTCTTCAACATTCTACATAAGTTATATAAAACACAATTTAATCTATATTTCTAATATAAAGTAAAAATATTCATAAGTGATCAAACTGCGTAAAGTAGCGGTGTAATTAAAAGACTCGAGTACCAGTTATAATTCTTAATTTGGTTTGTGCTTTGCTAAATTTTCTAAATCAATAGCCAAATGAAAAAGTTGTGATTTATTTAAGCACGGAATAAATTGTATTTGTAAAATATATCTTACTTATATATATATATATATGATCAAAACAACTATAAGTTCTGTTAAAATATTTGTTTGTTTTCTTTGTTGTTAAGCGCAAAACTACACGATTAGCTGTCTGTTCTCTGCCCACCACCGGTATCGAATATTGAATTTTAGTAAGTATTTAATGACATACTGGAAAATAAATGCTATACTGGTCCCCAAACCTAGAAATAAGTGACCATTCATTATGAATTAGAAATTAAAACTTCGCCAGTTATATTTCTCAGAATAATCAAACTGATAAAAAGAAAATTCCGCATACTTTTGAAGTCTGATTTTTTAAAATAAATATTTCTAATGAAAGTTTTCAATTGAGATGATTTAGATTTCAGTTTTCTTACTTATTCGCCGATGACTACCGGCTTCACTTTCTCTATTTCCCATGTATATTTATTTTACTTGAAAAAATATAATGAACGGGACGAAAAGCATTGAATTTTTTTAACTTGTACGAAAGGCAGCAGGACCGTCGAATAGGATGGCTGGTATTAGAGGTTTGCGAAGTTTGTTTAATTGCGTTACTCCAAAACATTGGCTTAAGATTAAGGTATGTAGAGGTTAATTATTTAATAACTTTAAATGCGTTTATAATTAAATTTTATCAGTCAAAGTTAATGCCGTTTTATTGTCATATGTGACACTGTTTAGGTGTCTGGCGTAGATAATAAGAGTATACTGTAGTCTACCGGCCTGGAACTTTGGGAGTAATACTATTACAGTATTAGTATTAGTACTGAATAAGCAGGTCTGTACGCAGAATGTTTGAAAGGGGGTTCTAATCTGCGAGATCAACAACCAATTCATATTGTGCGAAATACAATCACAGAATCAGCATGCAAATCACGCCAATGCTACAGGGTTCTCGGTGCATGATCCTCAGAAAATTTAAAAAAAAGGTTTTTAATATATTAAATCTGGAAGCAATTTTGCATGAAATATAGCTTAAAAAATTGCTTTGTTGTTCCTATAAAATCCACAAACATCCAATGAAAAGTCAACAAATTATTTTTTGGTAACACTGCATGGGGAGTTAGGCTTAAATTAGCATAAATATGTATGTTTTATTATAGTAAAGTACTATACCATCTACATGTAGAGTGGTTATTAATTGTTAACTTATATTACTAATTTAAACACCTCTGTAGAACAATAGTATATTAGCCATTTCAGTCATTGACTATCATGCACATACAATTGTTATATTGTTGCATGATGTTACTAGACCTTTTAGAATTTTACTATTTTCAATTGAGTATTATTCCATCAGAATATACAGTATATGGAATGTTCTAGAGTTCTGTCAGGATATAAATGTGCATCGAAATATAATTATTTAGACTGCAGGATTGTGATTTTAGTGATAAAGAGTGTATAGATGTGATTTTTTTAAGTGAAATTATCACAGTCTGTATTGTAATAGCAGAACAGAGAAGAATAATTAATCTTAATTGTGTTCTAAAGTAATTGGACTGTGTGGACTTTGATGAAAAAGAGACAATCATTTAAAACTCTAGATACAACTGTGATAACCAACAGTGTTACAAACATTTGTATATATGTTGGACTTGTTTTAATGTATTATTTTAAAACAAATGGACTGTGTTGCTGTTTGTTTATTGTTGAAATGTATCACCAACAAGTCACAGACAGTTACTGCAAAGAATCTGGCCTACAGAACCTGACAGTAGCAATATGGCTTTGGACTTCCAACTACAAAGTGTCAACAGAAGCAATTCCATGCAACTATTTAAGCCAAAAAATGCTAATGTAGACTATGTAGAAAATAAATAAGTACCATAAACAGCTGCACTATAGCTATATCAGCTTAATTGTTTTACATCACAAAAATAGGGAGTTTGGACAAACTGCCATGTGTACGTGCATGGTAAAGTATGTTGGTCTGGTGATGGAAGCAGCTTTTTTGTTGTGCAAGCTGATGGTTCGATTCTGTTTTACAGTGCTTTATTTTTGGTGTTTTTTTGATAAAAATTTGTACAATGTACAAAATTATTGACTGTGTCAAATAGAATACTGTTTAAATATTTTAAATACTCTTTGGCTCCAAAAATCTTAATAATAAAAGCCAATAACTGTTTTAAATTCAGGGCATAAAAATGTATCAGTGTAATATTATAATATTATTATAATATTAGTGTTTATGAGGTATCCATGTAAGTTAAGTGGTAAGACTTAGATTTGTATGAGTAAAATCCAATAACTTGTGGATAAGATTTTTAAAACTGTGCCCAAAATCCCCAGCTGGTGTCTTGAAAAATTAGAATAGAAAGCCATGATCAATATCATACTGAAACACTGAAAATATGCCTTTTTATGATGCTCTTGGTTGTTAAGGTGATTCAATCTCATGGTCCCATAGTATGTGGAAGCATACTCCACATAGGACAGTAAAATTACAACTTCCATTGTTGAAATTCACTGACCCACTGAATGTGTATATATCAGTATTACAGTTTACAGACTGTTACAAATAATTATTGAATCAGATACCTTGTCAAGAAGTTGCATTGATTTCTTACACAATGCCATCCACCTGTATTGAGATGAGGTGCACTATTACTAGTACAAGACTGAAAAGAGAGTTAAACTTTAAAATGCTCTAGTTCCTTTCATCAGATTCACAAAGATACAAAATATAGATTGTGAAATTTCATCTTCCTTCTCTACGACAAATAAGTTCTAGACCCAATGGGATTTTGCTGAAAGAACATGCCAGAATATGCACTGTAATGCAATACTCATTTTGTCAAAGGTATGTAAACAAACATAATTGAAGTCATCTATGATAATAGACAGGGGTGTTTTTCCAGTGTCTACAGTCTTATTCACTTGTCAAAATGCAGAACATGATTTAACTCACTGTGGTAAAGGGTAATTTATTTATGGATGTGCGGTGGAAAAGTAGAAACATTTATTACAGCCCTTAACATTAAGTATGTAATAGATGTTTATAATTGCACTTCTTACATGCAAATATTAGGTTGAATACTTTAGAATAGAAAGTACTGGATCACAGTATATAACAAGGGGAATATACTTCTACTGTTTGAAGTAAGAGTATGAATGGAAGTATTTTAAAATTCTCAAAGAAAGAATACTGGCACTTTTGAAGTACTACTACAGCCATTCAGTTTTTAATTCTAATATAGTGAGAAACAGCATGGCAAAAAGAAAAATGAAATCAAATTTGTTCCAAACATATTCTACTGTACTTTAAAATATACTCTAAGAGTACATAGTCCCTTTTAGGTAGAAATTTTAGTACAAATACTGTCATTATCCTGAAAGAGTACATTGAGGATCAGGATTCTGAAGTATGAAGTACTCTAGTACATTTTACTCTAATCTGTGCATGTGTAAATGTCTCTATATTATTGGTGTAACATGTTTTTAATGTATTTGTTTCTCAATAAACATTCTCAGGATGACCAACTAAGGATCCTTTTGGTATTTACTATATTCCATCACTCTTTCATCACATACCAACCACCACAAATATTCCACGGTTCTAGAAAAAAATTGGATTAGCAAGATAGAATGAAAGACCACAAAGAAAATCCAAAGAAATCAGCAGCAGTATTAGCTCCAAGTCTTGGTTGTCTAGCAACTCCAGAAATGAGAGGCTTTAACATACAAACAGAATTAGTGTTTGTACTTAGATGCCACAATTAATTTCTGTGGCATTCAGAAGGAAAATGTAAATAAACAAAGTATGCTCATCCAGGAATTAAGTTATGATTATAATACTTTAAAGATACAAGCACATAAATGCAAGCAAGTGTAGATAATTTAGAAATAAACTTTAAACGGAGAGTGAAAAAAGTGTCAGAGAAGGATAAATTACAATTCAGACAATTCATAGAGAATGATGACACTAAAACTAAACATTACATCATGCCTATACACAGAACGTTAGAAAAGGGGGTTATAATTTATGAGATGAAAAGCCAATACATATTGTGCAAAGTGCATGCGACTATTTCAAGCCAAAGAATGCTAATGCTTAATCAGAAGAATGTAGACTATGTAGAAAACATTAAGTATCATAAGCTTTTACATCACAAAAATAGGGGGTTTAGATGACCCCCCCCCCCCCCTTGTGGTATGTGTGTGTAGTACATAGAACTGCTAAATTACTCTTACAGTCTATGCCTATATGTGTAAGAATGTAAGAAAATAACAAATTAAATTTGAAGGATAAAATGCTACTAAGTTTCATTAAACTAAAACAAAACCCAGGGATAGAAGATTTGACATACGTGTTTGAAATTAATGCATTTTTAGTTAATAAAGTGTTTTATATTTGTCTAAATTCCCTGAAAGTAATCTCAGTGAAGTGATTAAATGGTCCTTATGTGAATAAGACACAGAATTTTCTAAGGTGTTTCAGAATAACCAGTTCAGGAAAGTAAGGTGCATTATAGATTATATTGAAATATTTACTGAATAGTCATCATCTCTGAAAGTAAGAGCTCATACATTTGCAAATTACAGAAGACAGAACACTGTCAAGATGCTACTTTGGATAAGCTCATCTGGCTGCATCACATTTTTATCAGATTGTTGGGGAGAGCAAGCCAGTGACAGTAAAATTACTCTTGAGTTTGGTATAGTGGATAAATTTGTGGCAAGGGAATTGTTTTGGCAGATTGTGGACTTAATGTGGCTGGAAACTTTGCCGTGAAAGGTTTTAAATTAGTTTTTCCCATTCTTACTAAAGTCGCAACTATCTCAAAAAGAAGTTGAAGAAAGCAGAAAATTATTCAGGTCCAGGATATGTGTGGAACGAATAATTGGGCAGACTAAAAATTTTATGATCCTCAATCAGATTACACCAATTTCATTAGTAAAAGGAAAAGATCTGTAAGAAGACTGTACAGGTTATTGGGGGCAGTTGTGAACCATAACCCCCAAGAGATTGGGAAATGAAACAAAATAAAGACTTGAAGCTGTGTTTTCGTATAGAGTGGCTGTACTTGGTATAGCACAAAAGTGATAATCAATACATCAATTTTATTGATAATTCAATACATATTTGTTATTTTGTATAATTGGAATCCTTATGTTATTATCATTATCTAGTGTTGGACAAGAGGTCATCCATTTGAGCCCTCTGAAGCAAAAACAACCCTTACAGCATGCAAGACTAGTGTATTTTTATTCCTGTACATATTCATTTCTTTAATTACAGCACAAACAATGACAAATTGTTTGACTTTGTCTGGGTAATAGAGTATTTCAGCCTTATATCAGATAAAATGGTCAGTTATAACTACTGAATGACATTCTTTATAGGAATAAGGAATATTCTAAAATAAGTAAAAGCTTCTAATCAAAAAGATGCATACTGATTTTTGTTCGTAATGCAATGCAAAAAATTGAATATAAAACCTTTCACTATATTTTATCTTTTGTTCAAGAAAGAAATTGATTTATTTGTGTATTAAATTGACAAACAACAATTTGTAAGCATTATAAAGTTGTTAATGTTGGGGAACATACGACATGTTTTGACAAAACATTGATTCT